TTAGTCAAAAATAGGTGGCAATTCCTGGTCTAATCCTTAGGATACAGGTAAAGGAAGAGGAGGCAGATTATATTTAATACAGTTTTAACCTATCAGTGGGCAATTCCACCGTCTGGTCAAGTCCAATTTCTAAAATTCTTCCAAGATGAGAAAGGTATACAAAAACCTTCCTGCCCTACTCACTCTTCTTTTTTTGGTCTTTCTCACTGAATGTCTTGGGATCTAATCATACTGCTCCCAGTGGGGTGGGACAGTCGGCCTGCATGACCCTGCTTCCAGGCTACCCAGACTCAGACCCAGATGGTGTTTCAGGACCTAGTCATCTCCAGCTGCAGTGCTGCTATGACAGAGGCCGGTCTCTAAGCAGCTGAATAGAGATATGAATGGTCAGCTTTTGGGAGCAGCTAATCCCACCCCAAGTCACGTACAGCCAAAACACAGATTTAAATGCCAAGAGGACTCTTAGAGACAGCTAGCCTAGCTACCTCACTTAGAAAAACTGGTTTTCAAACAATCTATAATAATAAAAGCATAATATGCTAATTAGACCAGGCGTCCTTCCTTCCGGACGAAGCTGCAGTGGGCAGGGGCCAAGGCCCTTGCATGAATTTCATGGATCAGGCCTCTAGTTATTTAGAAAAAGTATTTTCTATTTAATTTGCAATTAACACTTACATAGAGTCACAAATGTCATAATTAAAATCTGTGTTCCTGATCCTAGAAAGACTGATAGCAGCATCCCTTTTCTTGGAGGACGGAATATATCACCATGAACTAGTTTCCAGCCAAATTCTTCCTGGGCATCCTCCTAAAAAGAAAATGAAATTGTTTGTCATGTGATATCACCAAGACAACTAGACAGTTTATTCACTGTTGAATAGACTGATACAGAAAATTTTTAAAAAACTTACAAAGGTTAATATTTATTTTAATTTTGAACTATAAAGCTTGAATTATGAAGCTTTATAGTTTTCCTGAATTGTTTTAAAGGAATGCTGTGTATTATGGTCTACTAATATTATAGTTACAGAGAAATTTTAAAAAGAAATAAAGATAATGTGATGCCTACCTAGTTCTAGTCTAAGCTTTATGATCCAACTTAACATCTTAATTTTTAATCACACTCTATCCTTTTCAACCTACATTCATTAATCTCCAAAATAAACTAGATCTCATACTTACTTTGCTGGAACACAACGCTTACACACACACTGGGAATTAGACTTTACCTTGTCATTTATGAGGAATGTACAAATTGAAGTTTTATTAAAAGTACAAGGTTATTAACGGGGATGGGAGCATGAGTGTGCAGGGGGGGAGGTTGGGGGTTA